AGAGAAGAGTGTGTCCAGCTCCAGCAGAGAGAGAGAGAGAGAGAGAGAGAGAGAGAGAGAGAGAGCGCTTCCCCTCTTTCCTCTGTCTTCTGTTCTCTCCCGACCCCCAGTGGATCAGACGGTTCCCAGCCACACTGAGGGTGGGTCTTTCCCACCTGGGCCACTCAGACTCTTATGCTAATCTCTGCTGGAAACACCCTCACGGACACACCTGGAAAGATGGCTTTACCAGGTTTCCCAGCAGTCCTTCATCTAACAAGGTGACACCTAGAATGAACCTTCACGCCCCCAAACATCGGAATGAGCTCGTTGGACCCCACAAAAACCCCGCTGGTGTTTTCAGTGGATTTCATTCTTCTATAGTTTAACTTAGGGGCTGGCACCTTCGTGACGGTGGGGGCATTGTCACGTCTGCAGGTTCTGTGACACCCGACTCCCCTCCCCTTGAACGTGGGTGGCCTCAGGGAGGCCGCACGACACTCGCAGAGAGGCCAGAAAGGCCCCTCGGGCTCCTGGGCAAATCTGTGTGCTAGTAAGTGAGCGTCCTCTGGGCGACTTTTCACAAAGCTGCGAGAGCTGGCGCAGGCTCGAGGCCAGGTCCTGCCTTCCCACTCGCTCTTCTGTCCTTGGGTGGTTGTTTTGTTATTTTCTAAATAGATCTTGCACTTTTTTTGTTGCATTTTAAAAACAGGGTATTTCATCTTTTAAGGTTCCTGCTGTGAGCAGGATCTTTTCTTCCAGCAGATTTTCTGACCTGTGGTTGCAAATGTGTTACTTTTATTGCAACCACCTGACTCCACCTGGGTGGCCATGGCCCAGTGGCTTTGCCCAGGTCCCCCAGCTGGGTGACACCTGCTGCTTCCTCCCCAGCGTTCATGCTGTCCTTTCCTTTTGCCTCACCATGTGGACGGTCCACAGCGCTAGTGGCGGGCACCCCACAGGCAACTCAGGCTCAAAGCCTTTGTGGATCAGAGAGCCCAGGGCATGGGGAGGTCCTGGCTCCGGGGAGCTTCGTGGAGACCACGCGCAGCAGGCTCCTGCGTGGAGCCACAGCATCTGAGGCTTTGTGGGGCCAGCCCCGCGGGTAAAAAGCCCCTCTTCATTCACTGTGCCCCAGCTTTATGATGGAGGGTGACAGGGGGTCTTCACAGAAGTTGGCTTGGTGGTTGGTTTTTCCGAGACTGCACCTGCTGCTTGAAGCAAAGTGACTACATGGGCTCAGCGCAGTTTGGATGAGGGGGTGTTTGTTCTGTCCATCCTGCGTCCCACAGCCCCACACCCTCCCATCAGCCATCTGGGCAGCGCTCTCTGGAGGCAGCTGCATTGTCCCCAGGTCCCCAGTTCCCGCATGGGTGCCGTGCCCTCCTGAGCACACGTGGGGGCTGTTGTTGGGGGCCACCATCAGTCCTGAAGGGGAGACAGCATCCACGTTTGGGGAAGCCCCGAGACTTGTGTTCTCGAGCTTGCGATTCCTCTGAGAGTCCTCCTGACACCAGCTGCCCCACCCTGCCACCACCCACGTGGTCCTGGAGGGCGGGGTCTGGGGTCAGGGGCCAGGCCCCAGCCAGAGGCCATCTGTCCTGCCTCCCAGACCTGCTGTCTGGCCTCCTGCCAGCCCCTCCAGGACACTGGTGCAGAGTTAGCTGTGAACTTGGGTGTGGGAGGGGGAGTTATGGGGCTAGAGGCCAGGCCACGGGGTGTTGGCTTGACATCCACACTGTGCACCAAAGGACCCCAGACGTCGGCACGTGAGAAGGCGGTTTGTGGGGAGGACTGCAGGGGCTCCTGGGGTGGGAGGGTGGGCCTGGGAGGCCCCTCAGCATCAGCCCCAAATCCCACCTGCCACCCGTGCCTGCCCGTCGCTGCCCGGGAGCCCTGCCGCTCGGCCACTACACACACCTCTGAGCGCCGTGTGGAGCTGTCTCTGGGCTTTGAACGTGTGAGCGGGTCCCACTGTGTCCCTCGGGTGCACACGGCTGGGCGTGTCCTGCAAGGCTGATCCACACCTCTGTCTTCCAGCCTGGGGCTGCCATGGCCTGTGCTGCTCTGAGGGTTCTCCAGCACGAATGGGCCCTTATTTATCACCGAGGAGTGGATTCTGGGTCACCCACGTGAATGTCTTCAGTCTAGCAGGGGCACCGAGCTGCTCCCGGGTGGCTGGGCCATCTCGCACCCACCAGCAGAGCGCGGGGGCCCTGGCCTCCGCACATGCCAGCACGTGGTGGCGTTGGTCTCCGCTTCTGCCTCGGTGGCAGGGCTCCGTGGGTTGTGTCCCCGGGTTCCCAGTGAGATGAGCCTCCTCCGTGGGCCTGTTCACACCCTTGCCCCCTTCCTGTTGGGCAGCCTCCTTCCTTCTGCCAGTAGGGATTCCTTACGGAGCCGGCGTCCTTTAGGAGACCTGTGTCTACTCCAGATAGTCCAGGTCGTCCAGATGTTCTCGAGGTTCCCACTAGAAGCTGTTTTTTGTCTTTCACATTTAGATCCACAATCCCCTGGAGTGGATTCTGGCAGACAGCATGAGCAGGGCTAAACTTTCAACAAGGACCCGGTGTCCCTGGGACTCTGTGGGGTGACCTTGGTCAGCATGGAGGCCCTGTGTGGGGGCAGCTTGGCACGGGGCTGTGGCTCGGCCCTCGGCTCTGCTGCGCTGTCTGCCCCTCCCTGGGCTGGCCCCACGGCCTCCGTCGCTGCAGCTGGGGCCTGGGCAGCGCACACTGCACACACGTGTGTACACACACACGTGCACACGCACGCGCCGCATCGCTGTTTGACTGGAATGTATGGAATCTGTCTGTTAATTTCTAGAGAATGGACAACTTTATGGAATATACATGGATAATAATACGGAATGGCCCTTTATTTAGATATCTTAATATTTTTTAAATAATATTTTATGAGCTTCTTTTTTTGGATTTATCCCAAAGAACTTGACGTTTTTATGCTATCGTTAAGGGATGGTTTTTAATGTTCATTTCTGTGTGTTGCTAGTTTACAGGGAAACAATTGATCTTTCAATATTAACTGTGTCCAGCATCTGTGCTGAACTCATTAATTCTAACAACTTATCTTTGATTCTCTGTGGCTTTCTACATAATTAATCATACTGTCGGTGAGTCCTGAGGTTTTTCCTCTCCGAGTCCGACGGCTTTACTTGTCCCCTTGCTGTCTGCCGGCGCGGGCCGTCAGGCCACGCTGCTGCAGTCTCACAGGGACACGTTAATGTTCCTTCCCAAGCAGCGCACTTATCCAGTGCGCCACCGGGCCGGCCCCACGCTGGCGGGTTTTTTACAGATACCTTTGACTAAGGATGTTCCATTCTACTCCTAGTTTGATGAGATATTTCTTAAAGCGTGGCTGGAACGGAATTTGACGAAACGCGCGTCTGCATCTGGGGAGGGTCCCGTGGGCCTTCCCCGTATTCCAGCGCGGGGCTGAGTGGCACGGGCGCGCTCCCCGCCGTTAAACCGGCCTGGCTTTCCCTGCCGTCTGTCCTCCTTTGCGTCTGCTGCGGAATCTGACTGCTGGAGTCTTCCCTGGGTCCGCGCATCCCTCCTCAAGTGGGCTGCCCTCCCTAGGCAGGGGCCAGGCTTCCCTGGCCTCAGGGAGGTGTGGCCTTTACCCTCCGTCCTGCCCCTGGAGGAGACGGCATGTCCCCTCAGCTCTTGGATAAAGTTTGCAGCTGAAGTCACTGGGGCTCCCAACTCCCAGACTTCACCTGAGAGTCCCTGACCCTACCTGACCCTACCCACCCTCCCCCACCACGCGGGATCCTGGTCGGGTCCTGAGGGTGACCCCACCCTGTGCCCAGTCCGCGTAAGTGCCACATCTTCTCCCGGCTCCCCTGGGGTGGGGTTGGGAGCACACTGAGAGCCTCCCCCCGGGCTGAACTGTGCGGCACCTAATACGTCTTGACAAAAAGAACAACAGGGACTTATTAGGAAGTTTCCTTTGGGTCTTACTTTCTGTGATTTCTCATCAGTGTTGGAAAGGGTTACCATTTGAAAATGCCCTTGCTTGTCAACACTTGCAGCAGTTTGTACAGTGAGGAGGGGGCTCACAGGGTCGAAAGACAAGCCTCCTCGCATGCCCCGTCCCCACGGGAGCCCAGGGTGGAGGGGCGCAGGTGGAGGCTGGGAGGGGCTGGGCCAGGGGGCTCAGACCTAAAGAAGTGAAGCTGAGGGAAGGGGTGTGGGGGCAGGTGGGCTCTGGGAGAGGACGGGGGTGGGGGGTGCTCAGCAGTGACTGACTGGTGAGCACAGTGGGCTGAACCTGGGGCCCCATGCGCCTTCACTGCTCACAGCCTGGTCACCTGCGACCTGCAGCTGGAAAGTGAGGCCTGGCTCCCAGGTGGTGGGTGGAAGTGCCACAGGGTGGCTAGGGCCTGCTGGAGTGGGCAGAGTGGCCGTGGACACTGTGGGTGCTGCCGCATCTGCTGGAAGTGCTGGGTGTGTTTGGGGTGGGGCTCCCACCCCTGGGGTCTAGAGGAGCCCTAGGCATTGGTGGGGGGATGGCTGGGGGGCTCCCCCAGTGGGTTCTCCAGAGGCCCTGCACCTGCCCCCTCCCGTGACCCTTGTCTCATTCTCCCCAGGCCAGGACCCCCTCCTGCTCCTGCAGGCCCTGTGGACACTGTGGTCCAGGCGGGAGCCGCGGCAGGTGAGTGGTGTGGGCCCTGCTCGCTGATCCCAGTCATGGTCGGCAGAACAGACCCTTCGCAGTGGCACCGGCCATGAGGCAGAGACTAGGGTGGCCCCTCTGAATGTTCAGCAGACACCTGAGTCATGATGTCAAGGGGCCTGAGGCTCAGCTTCTGAGCAGCGTGGGGACAGCCAGTCTGATCCGCGTGCTCCCTCTCCCCAGGCCCAGGGCCATCGTTCCACCTGTCCGCTCCTACCCACCTGTCCGTTCGTTTGGGTGGTGTGGGACACGTTGCCCTTCCACGCCCTGGGGCAGGACCTTGCGGCTGTGGTCATGTGTGTGCTGAACTGGGGACAGGGCACCCACCAGCCCACCTCTGCCCTCACCCGCAGTCACCTCCCAGCGTGGGCGGCTGGTCAGCTCATCTGGCCGTTGTGGGAGCATGTGTCCCCAGGCAGGAGGCTGCCCATGTGGGAAGGCTGTGACGATCCCCCAGGGCCACATGGGGCTCCATGATGGCAGCTGCCCCCAGACTGCATCCAGAGGTGGCCTGCACCGGGAGGGTACCTTTGCCTGGGCCGCTAAAGGTACTGCCTAACCCTCGGCAGCTCCTCCTGTGTACTTTGCTTCGAGGTCACTTGCCTTCTCGGGAGGTTCCAAGTGGCTGCTCACCTGTGGAAGATGCAGCCATCGCCGGTGCTGCCCAGGCCTGGGACCCACAAGTGGCTGCAGGGATGAGGCCTTGCCTCCCACTGCCCAGTAGCCCGTGGGGGCAGGCGATGGTGGAGGAGGTGTGCTGAGCTCGCCAGGCCCTGTGGCTCTGCCAGTGCACGGCTTCCAGCAGGGTCTCGGCTCCCCCGCAGGATGGGAGGGGCAGCCTCCCAGGGTAGGGGAAACACCACTGAGGGCTCTGTGCCCTTAACACTGCGGCCCGTGCAGAGCTTCAGTCCCAGCTCAGTTTCCCAGCAAGCCATCCGCCTCAGCACGGGTTGGCTCGTGCCCCTGGCACTGCC